TCTCTCTCTCTCTCTCTCTCTCTCTCTCTCTCTTCACCTTAACCGTAGGAAACTCGCTCTCTAACTTTCCCATCCCTCTCTTGAACCGCGACGGATAACGAAGCTGCATCTGGTCCTTTTTTATTTTTTATTTTTTATCTTTCTAGATTTAGGCCCTTTCGTTCCTTTAACCCCGCTACCGTGGTCACTTGGGAAGACAAAGAAAAAAAAAAGACATACATAGCCAACCTTACCATACCAACCCCTCATCACTCCGACACTAACTTACCTTCCTCTCCTTATTCCCTTTCTAAGACGCACCCCCCCCGCCACCGCTCTTAACCCTAACCCCTTCTCCTCCTGCTCCTGTGCGGTGCCGTCTTGTTGTTGTTTGGACCACCGCCATCCCTTCCTCCCCTTCCCCCTCTTACCTCACCTCACAGAGTCCCGCAACTATAATACCACTGCTACTGCTGTTACCATCGCTACAACTGCCGTCCGTGCCCTGGCCCGTTAACTGCGAGCGAGAGCCTTCCGACCTCTCGATAGTACGGCTGCACTCTACCGTGCGCTCGATTACCCCTTGTCGACATTGTTCGCAATGGCTCGCCAGTCCGTGCCTCTATCCATAGCTCCGGTCCCTCTCGAAGCCGGCTATGTTATCGTTGACCAGAACTCCACCTCCAACAGTTCATCCAGCAGCAGCCCCGAGCGCTTCACCAACGATGGGGGCCCCGACTGTTTCATGTCCAACCCGGACGACAGCCACTCTTCGATAGCCGAGCTGACGGACTTCCGCAACATGACTGTATCCCCCATCGAGAAGTTGGCCTCCCTCCGCAAGCCGCATCCACGTCAACAGCAGCAGCAGCAGCCCCTTTCGCCCGTCAATAAACTTCCTCCCGAGCTCCTGATTGCCATCTTCTCCAAGATTACCTCGCTCGTCGTCTTGAAGACTTGCATGCTGGTGTCCCGGCAATGGGCCGACTGCAGCGTGGAGCTGCTCTGGCACCGTCCGCACTTTGGCGAATTCGCGAAATACGAGGCCATGGTCGCCGCCATCCAGGATGAGAACGCCTTCTACAAGTACTCGCAGCTGATCAAGAGGCTCAACCTGACGCCCATCTCGGCAACGGCTAATGATGGGAGCATGAAGCCGTTGGGACTGTGCACGAAATTGGAGCGCCTGACTCTCACCAACTGCGTCAACTTGACGGACTCCCCGCTGATGGAGATATTGGCGGGTAACCCGCGCATCCAGGCGCTGGATATGTCGCAGCTTTATAACATCTCGGATTTGTCGATTAATGTGGTCGCTGAGAACTGCCTGAGGCTTCAGGGGTTGAACGTTGCTGGGTGTAAACGTATCACCGATGCTTCTATGGTTCCGCTGTCTACGAACTGTAAATTTTTACGCAGAGTATGAACCCACCCTGTCCTGCGCTTCTTTTTTCTTTCTTTTTTTCTTTGTTGCTGACGTGGGAATTTTTTCTTCTTGGGGGGTGAAATAGCTTAAACTAAACGATTGTAACCTTTTGACCAACTCTACGGTCATTTCGTTAGCTGAGAATTGTCCTCAGCTTCTGGAGGTGGACTTGCACAAGTGTCACAACATCACGGATGAGTCGGTTCTTCATATGTTCAATCAACTCCGTCAGCTTCGGGAGCTTCGCCTGGCCTATTGCGACCTTCTTACCGATGACGCATTCCTCAAGCTTCCCAACAAGACGTACGAGCTACTGCGCATATTGGATCTTACAGGCTGTAGGCTGCTTACGGACCAGAGCGTGAGCAAGATTGTCAACATCGCACCCAGGCTCCGCAACCTCATTCTGGCAAAGTGCGAGAATATCACCGATAGGGCGGTCACCCACAGCATTATAAAATTGGGGAAGAATTTGCACTACTTGCACCTTGGTCACTGCCAGCACCTCACGGATCGTGCCGTGCAGGCTCTCGTGCGTTATTGCAATAGGATCCGGTATATTGATCTGGCCTGCTGCACACTACTCACTGACCAGGCTGTCTGCCATCTTGCGGGGCTACCAAAGCTGCGGAGGATTGGGTTGGTCAAGTGTCATCAGATTACGGACTATGCTATCCAGACCCTGGTCCGTCGGACAAATGACACACCGTGTCCCCTGGAGAGGGTTCACTTGTCTTATTGTACTAATCTTACTGTTAATGTGAGTTCCTTGTCGGTCCATGCTCGTTATGTCAGGGAAACGCATCAACTGATGGTTATCCTCTAGGGAATTCATGACTTGATCAAGAGTTGCGAACGCCTCACCCATCTTAGTTTGACCGGTGTCGACGTCTTTTACAGTAGGAAGGATTTTACCCAGTTCTGTAGGCCTCCGCCTGAGGGTATGTCGCCCGTTCTTTTTTTTTTTTTTTTTCTTTTTTCTCCCACTACTTTCAGTGCTGACTCGGGTAGAATTCAACGAGCACCAACGTGAAGTTTTTTGCGTCTTTAGTGGTAGCGGAGTAGATAAACTCCGCCGGTACCTAAACGCCCAACAAGCCGCCACCTCCGCTGCAATCAACACTACCGGTGGGGACCACCTCGCGTATTATAACGATGAGGATGACGACACCCAGGAAATGGAGGAGGATGGGGAGGCGGGGACGGATGGTGTTGAAGATTAAGATGCATTCGTCGCATGAGAGGAATTGAGGAGATGCGCGCTATAGCAAATTTCTGCTATTGGTGGGGCGCATTCTCGGCTTTTCATCTCTTTTCCCATTCATCTCCATTACTTGTCTTTTTTTTGCCATGGTCGTCCTAGCTGAGTGGCTAGTTTGGTGGCATGTGCTTTTTTCACGTGACTATGGCGGCATGTCTTGTCTTGTCTTTCCTGTGTGCGCATGGCGATCTGGAATAATTGTATTTTTTTCTTCTCCATTTCTTTCCCTTTTTCTTTGGAAAAAACTGTTTTCTTTCTTTGGGGGTGCATTTGGTACGGGTCTTTTATTACTGCTTCCTTCTCATCTCATGTTTAGGCTCTTTTCTTCCTCTCAACTTGCCAGGTGACGGAGGTAATAATTACTTGGAGTTGAATAATGGATGAAGTGTTGGTGGGTGGATAGATGTATGTTACTCTGCTGGTTTTTCCACTTGTCCCATCCCCTCCCCCCCCCCTTTGGGTGGTGCTACCTGCTTGGGTGGTTGAGCGGGTGGGTGGCTAGATTGGTACGTAGAATTTAGGGGGTTTTTTATTCTTGTTTTTGAAAACGAGGGTGGTGTGGGCTGTGAGTGTTGAGTGAGAATTAAAGGGTGGAATAAATGATAATCGGGGCACTGTGCTACGGAAGAGTCGAGGCGAGTGCTGGCGTGTGATGCCACCCGGCGTTCTTGCTTGTATCATACCAACCATACCGTGCCAAGTCTAGTTTAACTGTGTGAACCCACTATGACTGTCTCCACCGTAGGTCACCCTCCATCGCTTCCGGGCCGTGTCGTGTCCGTCTATTCCACCCGCGCGCTACACTGGCCCAGGGCCCCTTGCAGCGATACAATTGTGCTTCTGTGCCTGCAGGAAAGTATGTCGCAGCAGGGCAAGTTTCTCATCCGGTAACCCCTGCGCCTGTCTCCCCGCCTACCCGCCTACCCGCCTGTCAGCCAGCCAGCCAGCCAGCCAGCCAGCCTGCGCGCGTGTGCATGTGGAGGGGGGGAGGGGGGGGACCATACCTTTACACACATTATATACTCGATTCTATATATGAATCGTTAAGGTACAGTGCTGTACCCGTAACACAGAAATGGAGCACCTTAGCGCAGCTATTCCGGTCGAATTTCCGAACTCGCACCTATCCCATTTGCATACCCGGTAAGGGCAGTGTTGGTAGTGGTATAATACATATCATAATATCATACCATTCTAGCTAGAGGAGCCTAAGCATATCGCTCGCTGGTACGGCAGATGGATTTACCCGATGGTGGATTTCCTTCCCTCCCTTTATTTTATTGGTTGTGGAGTAATGACTTTTGTATGTATGTGTGTGTATGTGTGTGTGGAATTTTGACCTGCGGTTCGGGCGTTGATGGCGGTGGGTATGGCATGATATGGTACGGTGTGGTGTGGTTACTGTACAGTACTTTACTTGCTTGATTTGCTTGCTTGCTTACTCCTTGCTGTTGTTGGCGGCGGTGGTGAGCCCCCTTGCGGTGGTAGTGCCGGTATCCTATCGCATCGGGGAAGGAAGGACGTCTCCGCGCGGTGACTTGAACGCTGTTTTACTGCGAGCCAGCGGCGTGGGCTGGGCTTTTGCTGACCCCCACACCACCACCAGGGCCACGCGGCTAATGTGGCTGTTAGACAGAGGGTTTCCCTTTCCCCACCCCCCTCCCTTTATATGATACGCTATGCATGATCAGCTTACCGTTGGACAACGAATCTTATGCGAGTGATGGTCTGTGACGGTATTCTAATTTAAGAGGAGGAAATGGTGGTGATGGATAAGTTTGCTTGCTTGGAGATTATGGTGCTCAAGTGTGGTGGTAGTGTGGTAGTGTGTGTGTGTGTGTGTGTGTGTGTGTGGAGAGCATGAAGCGGAGTTGGGGCTGTTTTCTGTGTACAGTACAGTACAGTACAGTTCAAATCATGGTATCATACCTTTGTTTACGTTCTCGGGGTAGACCGGAGTAAGAGATCTCGTCCATGGTATGTAATTTTTGTGTTGGTTGGTTTTACTCTGCTGTCCGTCTCGGTTTGATCTCGGTGAATTATCAAAGGGCATGGTTCGTATCTTTATAGAGAGCCTTAGAACCCCAAGAAGAACAGTGATGTGCCGGAGATCAAGTCAGATCGGATCTTGAAGAGTGGTGGGATTTGCTGGTACTGTACTGGCGCGGATGCGGTAAGTTAGGCACGAGCAGGGCATTGTTGTTGGCGCAAATTTGGGTGGAGATTGGTTGGATGGCCCAAAGTAGCGTTGAGGTTCCAGGATATTCAAATAGTCGACTTACTATCATACATAGTCCATCATCTGGTTAGTCAAGTACGATCCTCGCACAGTGACCTACTCAAGTAGCGAAAAACAGAAAATGTCTCAACTGTTTAGTAATGGTATGATACCAACTCTTTGAACGCCATTGTCGCTGTTGGACCTTTCGAATAACTTTGGTGTTGCCGGTGACCGAGCTAATATCATAACCTGGCTTTCCCCACTAGATCCCAGGTTACGGCGTCAGGATATCCAGGGCCGCCGGGTAGGAAATGTAGGGGAATTGCTCTTCCAAACCGAGTAATTTGGAGACTGTTACGTCAGCAGTGGCTCGGTAATGGCAATTTTTTTGTTTTGTTCTGGGGATCCTGGGGTCGGAAAGACATATATTGGGTAATAGGGACAAAACTCCAAGGGAGGAAGATAAAGGACAAGTGCCAACCAGCCTCGATGTTAACTCGGTGGTGATTGAGGGTTTGCACGATCGGGCGAGAGGACAAAATGTCGCTGTTGTATGTTTTTGTTTTGACTTCGCCGCCCAAAAGAAGCTGCCATCGGCGAGCATGCTGGGCTCCCTACTAATGTAGGTTGTGGGTGGACTTGAAGAGGTATCGGGGGAAATGGCGCAAGCCTATAAAGGCCGGAAGAAGGCTATTGGTGGGCGCGGGCCTCTAATTTCCGATATTGTCAAGATGCTGTAGACCATAATATTATGTATCAATGCTTTTGATGGATGTGTGGCAGGATATCGAGTCAAGTTTGTTGGTTCGCTAGTCAAATTGCCCTGGAGTCTCCGGGCGCTCGGATATCCGTCACTGGGAGGCTACACGGGGGGGGATGTTAAGTTGGCTCCACGATATTCCACACAATGGAGGGTGTTAATTGTGTGCATAAAAAGCTAAATTGAGTCTTATTTTTCATCTACTGTAGGCCATGCGCAACCCCCCCTCTTGCACCCCCACTGAGATATCAGGATGTTATACCAGCACGGCTAACGGTGTCTAGTGAGATTGCTGTGGGATACTGCCTTGCCTCGTATCTTACCGTAAAATTGCGCTATGTGAACTTATATTGCCGTAAGAACCCTAGGGATGCCGGAGCAGTGGATAGGTGAAGATGATAGTATAACCGGGGCACACCGAGCCAGACAATATTACCGGGAGCTCTGGCATTGGCCGGAGGCAGAGGGGAAAGAGGGGAGCCTTGCGAGTAGCACCGAGATCGAAGATGAAGGGAAAGTGGAGCATAAGAGGAAGAGGTATGATAGCGAAAAAAATAAGGAAAATGGAACCCTGGGAATTGGTGAAGAAAGAAAGGCAACTGTGGGACAAGTCAACCATTATCCCAGCCAATTTTTCGCCCGAAACGTGGCTAGATAATTTTTGGAGGCTTTGGCTTCGACGTGTTCATACATCACCCCTATACTCATCTCTCCTGCCCCCGCCCGTGCCCCGCAGAACATTCACCATGGTCAATGGGGTTTGAATTCATTTAGATCCTCACAACGGTGATATGCTGAGTTTCATGGGACGCTGAATTCTCTCTGTGGGCTTGAAAATCGGGAAATTTGGTGGTTAACCTTGGCTTCTCCTTCCTCTCACTCTTCTGGGTAATTCAACTCTACTTTCCCACTGGTTACTTCCTCCCTCTCTTCTAGGGGCAAAATAAAAAGACCGGTCCTTCCATCTTCGAGATGCCATCCCGTAGCACGTTACCACTGTACCCTCCTTTTTTTTTTTGGAACAGTTGTTGACTTCCAATCGAGCGAGTGACCATTCGTGAAGCTCATGGAGGTCTGTATTTGACTAGGAGGGGTGGTAGGGGTGTCGATGGCATGACTGGGGAATACGGTACTGCCATGGGGGTGAATTAATGAGGTAGCCTGTTGACGGCCGACGCCTGCTCGGGGGTCACGGGCGGATGCCGGGAAAGAGCTCATTAACGTCATTATCACGGCTTGCGAGAGTGACGCCACGTTTAGCAACTGAAAAAAAATAAAAATGAGACTAAACCCCCCCCCCAAGCAGTGATAATATTTTTACCATAATGCAATCTATACACACATATAGCCGTAAAGGGAACAAATAGAAGGAAAAAAGGCTCGAGAAACCGTACATTCTCGTACGATAACTAAATTAATCAAAATGGAGCTCTCGGGTGCCCCAACTAGTCTCAGACTATGGGCGTGGAGAAGGAGGGGAAAAAACCAAGAAACCACTCGCTTTTGTAACAAAATCTAGAAAAATAGAGCCCTCAAGTACCCCAGATAGCCCTAGAGCAGGAGCGAGAAAGAGAAGAGAATAGAAATCAAGAAAGAGTCCACTCTCGTAACGAGCCTGTTGGAATGGAGCCCTCAGATGCCCCAGATAGCCTCAAAGTAGGAGCGAGAAGGGGAGAAAAAGAAAAGGGATCAGGAAACCGCCCACTCTCGTAATCAAATCTGTAAGAGTGGAGCCTCCAAGCGCTCCGAATAGCTTTAAAGTGGGAAAGAGGAAGGGAGGAAAAAATAAATAAAGAATCAACCCACCCTCGTAACGGGGCCTGTAAAAATGGAGCCATCAAGCACCCCAGATAGCGATGCAAAACTCCTGAAGGCAAAGCATCAAGCATGGGGTGATAATCCACAAGCCAATCAATGCACAGATGTATCCGATGGCAAAGGCCTTGCGACTACCCTGATCCTCTCCAGACCATTTCTCGCACCGCTCCATGTTGAGGTCTAGCCTCCTCTTCATTTTGGCCATGGCCCAGATGACGGCACCCCACACGAGTGTTGTCAGGAACCAGACGAGGATGATGAGCGAGACCTCCTGCGAGAGGGGCAGGCGGTGCCCCCCCTCAAGCTTCTGTTGCACCGGGGCGTGCGTGTGGGGGATGTTTGGAACCATCCCCAGGCTTTCCTGAACTTGGACTGTTCGGTGCCCCCCCTCAAGCTTCTGTTGCACCGGGGCGTGCGTGTGGGGGGTGTTTGGAACCATCCCCAGGCTTTCCTGAACTTGGACCGTTTTGTAGGTTAGCATCATAGGCATCCTTATCATTGAGGGTAAGACCTTACGAGAGCGTTTGCGATAGTCATTCCATGGGTTCAGCATCAATTCGTCGGATTCCCTAAGGTCGGGAAAAATGAGGGTTTTCCACCAGGGGTCCTTTTCGATGTCTAGTGCAGCCGGGGGGTAGCCAGGAGGTGAGACCTCGGGTTTGCTCTTTTCCCCTTTCAGAGATTTTGGGAGAGGGGCGGAAGGGTTTGGCTTGAAGAGAGTAGAGAGGGATGAGAGCAATCTGTGGCCTTTACCCTCTGAGCCAGGGTCCGCGAGTGGTAGTGGGGCCATTTAAAGGGTGATGTTTTTTTCTGATAGAAGAAATAATACTGGTGGGTTTTGCGGGGAGAAGGCTGCTGCGGTAATAGCGGGGTGGAGAGAAAGGGAAGGGAATCGGCCTGGGAGAAGGGTGCGGGTACGGGGTATATATATACCGTGAAACGATAGTGC